CTTATGACTCGTCACTCTAAAAACTGTACTGCGCATACAGTATACACTTATCATGAAAGGAAGCGAGATGCGGAAAAATCGGGTTATGGTACCACAAAAGTTCGGTTGGGCAAAGATTCAGTTCGTGGATTCAACTGCTGCTGCCTAACCTTGCAGCCAGCCAAGGATCCAGTTGTCACCCCTGATGGATATTTATATGACAGGGCATCTATTTTGGAGTATATTTTGAATAGAAAAGCAGATATTCAGCGAAATTTAAAAAATTTTGAGAAGCAGTTGGCTCGTGATGCTAAAGATAAAGAGGATGATGAAAGGTTAAAAGAGGAAGAAGCCAAAAAGTTTCTCGCTTTTAACACTTTGGAAACGCACGCTAAGGCTGCTGCCCAGGAAAACGAGAATGAGGCTCTTGCGTGTTCCTCCCGTACAGCTGTTGCGGTTGAAGGAGCTTATAAGCCTGGAAAAGCTGCCAGCTTTTGGCACCCTACAAGTTCAAAGCCACTCAAGGGTGCTCACAAGCTTCCTCCTGTCAAGCCAGACACGGTAGTGCGGTGTCCAATGAGCCAAAAGCCCATAAAATACAAAGATTTAATTCCAGTTAACTTCAAATGTGTAGTCGAAGATGACGAAGCATTTAATCTTAAGAAAATCAAGTCGGCATCTGCATCTGAACGGCGTTTTTGCTGTGCCGTTTCAAATGATCTCCTTACTAATTCATCTTCTTGCGTAGTGCTTCGAACGTCTTCTTCTGTGGTTACTCAAGAAGTTGTCGATAGTATTCTTCGGAAGGATATGTATGATCCTATAAACGGCAAGCCTTTGAAAGAAGATGACTTTATTCATCTCCAGCGTGGCTCTCTTGGTTACGCTGATGAAAGAGTTATTTTAACTGCCAAGCGTTCGCTTCCAGTCATGCAGACATAATATGTAAAATGCCTATGCGCAAATAAAATTGTGATTTATCTTCCTTTTTGCTCACAATATTTCTGCAATGTCCATGCCTTATCTTTATTCGTCTTTTCGAGAAATTTCAATGCTCTGCGAAATTTTGTGTGAGGGTCGCGTTCCAGCTATTGCAATTAACGGGCACAATATAGACGTTCTTTCAACTCCTCAAGAATTCTATCATTCCCTGCTAGTGAGTCTCCAGTAAATTGTTGATATTAACACTACCTGGTTACCGTTACGAACGTGTTCCTCGGTTCATTATGGTTATAACTCTGGTGTTTACTGCTCGTTAGTATATTTATATTGCTATAGACGCTTGAGATATATATTGTTCCATTTAAGTATGATATGTTTATCTTGGATTCTATTGAGACGCTGGATTATACTTTTAGACACTGGCCAAGGAAGCAAGACGTCGCATTACAATTTCCACTCTTTATATTGGCACTGGTCCCATGGAGGTTAATCTAGTAAGTAATTTCTATCATATTAATTAGTAATCCTATGAAATATACGAATGACTTCATGTATTCTTAGTCATTAATTATTTTTGGTATAACGTCTGTTTCCCCTTTATGGA